TTAACCGCAAGCGTACGGTGTCAAGTTTTGTAGTATATTAAGGAATTGAAAAGTGTCGAACCCACAGGGATTGATATTCGACTCCTACTGAATACTATAATTGTGTCCGTGTTTACTTTATCTAGACAATCTAATGTTAAATCGATGTTTGAATGTTAAACTAATGTCGATGAATTAAATAACGCAAGGGACATGAGGCAATTTTTAAAGATTGGATCAGAATTATGTAATGTCTAGAGAGTGATTTTACCATATTATCGACATAATTCTCAACCCCTATAGATATTCCTATCAACTATTTCTCGAATTCATAGGCAAGAATCCTAAATTAATTCTATTTCCTTCTCTCGAACGTCAAATAGAACCTATCTCTATATTCTAATCCTAATAACTCTATTCCAAATTAAATATATAAAGATTATCAAGCACTTGGTCCTTGTTTTACCCTAAAAAATTTGCACTCTCTCGAAACCTACAAATCTAAGTTATATTGTTCTTAGATCACGCCTAAATTTTCTCTCTCGAGCGTTAAATTTAGAGCAACAATTCATTCAATTGGTGATCAGCCAACTGAAAGCATTACGTATGAACAATACAAATCAATTCTGGAAAAATCAAAGGGAATACTATAAAGAAATTAAATTATGTCTCAAATAGGTTACATCAAACCCTAGATTTAAAAGTTTAATTAGTGATAGAGAATAAAATTGCAATGAAATACAAACTAGAGTGCATGGATAAGAGAAAGATAGAGAAAAACTTAAGTTGCTGCACTATTTCTCAGTCTTGCTGCTTGATTTCTCAGTTTTCTGCCTGCTTCTTCTCCAAAATCGGGTCAATCTTCTCTCAATTAGTGTTACTTTTTCTCTTGCCTCTTTAGCCGTCTAACCCCCTTCTCTTTGTCTTCATCTTGGTATTTATATTTCCTAAGAGTCCTCAATGGTTAAGGTATGATTTTTGGGCAGAAAAAATAATTAAAAATCCGGGTTTTATTCGTTTTGGGATTTGGCGCCACGGTGCCTTGATGATAATACTAGCTGGCGCCATGGTGCCAGTGATTCTGCTGGAACTTGATCTCTTTTGGGTGCCAAGGCGTCGGCGCTGTGGCGCCAGTTATTCTGCTTTACTTCTCTTCATTTTATTTTTCAAGCCTATTTTCAACTCCAATCTTATTCAATACTTGCTTATTCATGCTCCATTTCATTGATCATCATTTTTGCTCATCACAGGCTCCCAATAGTGGTAATTTCTCGAGAGTTGTCCAAACTGCAAAACAACACGAACACACACATCAAAACGTTTAAAAATGCCCAAGAACAAATCAAAAAACGTAATTTAGAAGCTCTAGTTTAATGAGTGAATTACACTCATCAAACATCCCCAAACTTAGTTCTTTGCTTGTCCTCGAGCAAACACAAAACTAAAGATAATTATTAACGAACACAAAAGCACAACTAAAACAGACAAAGTCACTTAAAAGAAACTTTATGTTAGACACCTTGCATTTATAGCTTAAGATTAAAAATACAGCGTCAAATTCATGAATTACTTCAAAACTATAATGCACGCGTCAAATTCTCGCTTATTCAATGTAAACGGGTGTGTGTGTGTGGAGAGTTAAGCACAACGCTGTACAATAATAAATTGACCCAATTTTTTACCTTAAAAGTCAAATATTTCCTTGCATCGCTCATGGGATTCACACACCCCCAAACTTGTTTTCTTTTCTCTTCCCAAGGTGCATTCTAAAGTTGATTTTTCAATACTAATTTCTTACACCGCTCAAGTTTGGTTAGATTTCACTATTGTAGTTCAACCTATCAACAGATAAGGATTTTCCTTATTTTTGACAGCTTCAACCTCTAGGAATCAACCAAGTTACTAACCTCTTATCAAAGGTCTACTCATCTAAAACAAGTGTACGGGGCTTAATCAAGGCATGTGATATTACTTTTCTTTTCTCCTCTTTTTTATAAATATAAATGTATTCTTTAAACACCCTTTGTGTGGACGTCACTCCCTTAAACTTTCTAAATGACCCTTGTAACGAGCTTTAAGCCGATGACTCCCAAATCAGACGACTTTAGGGCACCATGTTTTAAACCCTTACAAGCTTAATCACTCGAGTCATAAAGGCTACGAAGAGACGATTCACAATGAGATTATTAAAGTTGTCCTCATTGGGATCTTTTTTTTTTTTTTGCAATGATTAGTGCAATGCCCCTTATTAGCATCTATTCTCGAAAATTGACCTCGAACTTAAGGTTTTCACCCAATTTTCATCCTATTAGTCTCAGAAAATCCACACAAAATTTAGCACACATGGAATCCACATTTATTACTAAACATCCTATATTTAGTTTAAAGGTAATATGATGTTCAACTGTTGTTTGGGTTTAGCAACTAAGTTCTCTAATTCAACCTAGAAACATGAATCAACCTACTCATGTACAACGCTACAATCAATCCACGTGCAAAAATAATTTCCGTTTCACAAGAATAAGCAAAAATCTAACTCACACATATAACTTATTCATAATCTATAAACCAATACATGTTCTTAATAGTATACATCATCGCCGGCAAAGCTATCTAACTCACTCAAGCTTTTTTTTTTAAATGCACACAATCACACAAAATAAAAAAAAAAGAGGTAATTTTAGACAATTATAAGCGACACTCCCCCAAACTTAAGCTACGCATTGCCCTCAATGTGAAAATGGAAGAAGGAGAAGGGAGATACCTCAGTGAAGACATCAATTGTCTTCCTCTTCATCAGGTGGAGCAGTAGGATGGGAATGAGATGGAAGTGATGGCGGTGGAGGGAAGGTGAGCTCGGGATGTGCAGATGCCATGACCGCCATGCAAGCGTTCTGATATTAAAATTGGTCAAAGATGGTGGATTGTAGATGATTCATGTATACTTGCATGCCATCCTGCCATCGGGTCATGCGCAAATCCATGGCTTCAAGACGTCGAAAGATGTCCCCCATAGCATCAGAAGGTTGTGGAGGCAGTGGTGTAAGAGGTAACGGATGAGATGACTAAGAAGAGCTAGGCACTTCCCGATGTCCCACACGCCTATCACGGAGGTCCCGTGTAAGTGGTTGTTTTGGGTGTAACACTTCATCAGTTTCATGCAAGGGAACACCCCCGTGTATGCAAAGGTCATGGATCAAAGAGGGGTGACCCAGACTGCCTGTAGTGGGCCCGACAAGGATGGGAAGAATGCTGTTTTGAATGACTCGGCCAACATCAATAGAATATCCTTTTTGAATCACAAAATTCAGTAAGGCCCGTTCCTTGGTGACCTTGCTGGTGTTGCTATTGGGGATCGGTTTGGATGATATGAAATGGTGCTAGATTTTATAGTTAGGTTCAGACCAGATGAAGGGAAGTAGGTTACATCACTAGCTCATCCTTTCCATTCAGTACCGAGGCGAGTTATAGTGTGAATTATCTCCCCGGGATCGACCCCCTCATCCCGGAGTCGGGAATAGTCATCATTGGGTATATCCCGCGTGTGGTAGAATCGGTTAATTGAGGCACTATCAAACTTGATCCAAAAATCTCGGACAAAAACCTTGAAGTTCTCATGTTCATTGGCGTTGGCATAGAACTCTTTCACCAAAGGAATGGATACAGCACTAGGTTGCTTGGTAAATTTCTCCCATCCCAAACTGTGGATTTTATCTGGTAAAAAATTATCAAGGCCCCTCTCAGGAATGCAATTCTGATGTACCACACTGTGTTTATAGCGTTCCTCTGCTTCGGAACTAATGAATCGTCGTCGATCAAACGCTGTAGTAGAGGAAGAGATGGTGACCTTGGATTTCTTTTTAGGATGCATTGAATAAGTGTTCCTTCACAATATCAAATGAAGTTAACCGTCCACCTGAATCAATTAAAGGATTTTGTCTTAGAAAATGAGGTATGTCCCAAGTAGGCACGAAAATCTTAATGAAACAAAATATCGAACATGTGGTAGGTGGCTAGGATAAAAAAGTACAAAGCTGAATGCAAGCCATCAAAAATAACCCAAGAATAGTACAAAAGAAGTCTTTGATGAAATTTATCAAACACGTTGTGGGCAAGACAATAAATTAATAGTTAGGAAAATCCAAGCCCATAGAAAATTACAAAGTCTTCTAACATAGATTCCAACATTAGTAAAGAAAGTCAAAGAGGACGAAGAACAAACATATGGTGGGCATATAACAAAATAATTTCGAAGATAAAACAAAAGCCCACACAAGCTTTATCAAAACACAATCCAACAAAGAAAAAATGATATTGTGACGTAGTCCTAAACAAGGTTACCATTAGAAGTTCAAATTAAACTAAAAGAAGGAAAATTGCATTGTAAAAGAACGTACCTTCTTTGAAGAACTAGTCATTAGCCTTTTACTTCTAAGATATGGGTTGTTGTAGATGTGAAAATGTATAAAGGTGAGGTAGTATGAGAGACTTTGGTGTGTGCAAGTGTGGGGAGGAAGAGGGGGAGATTTGAGAGAAGAGAAGAATAAAAGGGTTTGGGGGTAGGGAAATGAAAAAATAAAATAATATATATATATATATATATATATATATGTGTGTGTGTGTGTGTGTGTGTGTGTGTGTGTGTGTGTGATGTTGTTTTAAAAAGGGTTAGGCGCCATGGCGCCCAGGTTTGGCGCCACGGTGCTAGGTGCCAGAGTTGCTGAATTTTATTTTTTAAAGGAGGTTGGCGCTGCAACGCCAAATATGGGGGCCACGGCGCCAACTATTCTGAAAAAGAGGTATTTTTTTTACCTCCAACCTACTCCCTTCCCATATTGACTAGAGTGTTGATGCAACCATTTTGAGCATGACCCTACAAAATAAAAAGAAAATGAACTTACCAAATTGGCCTAAGAAGAAAAGAACATGTCTAAATAATGAAAAGAAACTTAAGGAATAGAACTTGAGTTACCTCCCAAAAAGCGCTTCTTTTACGTCTTTAGCTAGACGTGAACGTGGTGTTAAGTTGGTTTATCAAGTGTAATTTCTTCCACATCCTTATTTTCTTCTCCATAGTAATGCTTGAGGCGTTGTCCATTTCCCTGAAAGGTGGACCCATCCAAGCTTACTAACTCCACTGCACCATAAGGGAACACCTTACGAATTACAAATTGTCCCGACCACCGGGATTTGAGCTTGCCAGGAAAAAGTTTCAAGCGAGAGTTGAATAGAAGAACTCGCTCTCCTGCCTTGAAATCCCTCCTTAGGATTCTCTTCTCATGCCACATTTTTGTCCGTTCCTTGTATATCTTTGCATTTTCATCTACATTATTTTGAAAAAAATCCTCCAACTCATCAAGCTGCAACAAACTTTGTGGACCGGCCAATTTCATATCTAAATTCAATTTCTTCACAGCCCAATAAGCTCGATGCTCCAATTCCACCGGCAGATGACAAGCTTTTCCAAATACCAGACGGTAGGGTGACATTCCAATTGGTGTTTTAAAAGTTGTTCGGTATGCCCAAAGAGCGTCATCCAGTTTGAGAGATCAATCCTTTCGATTGGTATTCACTGTCTTTTCCAAAATTTGTTTAATCTCTCTGTTAGATACCTCTGCTTGCCCATTAGACTGTGGATGATAACCAAGTGCCAACTTGTGCTTGACATTATACTTAGCTAGAAGAGAATTGAACAGCTTGTTACAGAAATGTGTACCTTCATCACTTACTATTGCCCTGGGCGTGCCAAAACGAGTAAAGATATTTTTCTGTAGAAACCTCAAAACTACCTTTGCATCATTTGTTGGTGTAACAATAGCTTAACCCATTTAGATACATAGTCAACTGCAAGGAGAATGTATACCTGACCAAAAGAAGGTGGAAACGGACCCATGAAATCGATACCCCACACATCAAATAATTCCACCTCAAGCATATTAGTTAATGGTAGCTCATGATGCCTTGAAATGTTTCCGGTATGTTGACAACGGTCACATGTCTTAACAAAAGCATAGCAGTCTCTGAACAGATTCGACCAATAGAAACCGGATTGCAATACCTTTGTAGCAGTACGTGTAGAACCGAAATGACCTCCATAAAGTGAAGAATGGCAATGCTGCATGATTGATTGTGTTTCTTCACCAGGGACACACCGCCTGATTATTCTATCAGCACATCTTTTAAACAATATTAGATCATCCCACAGATATGACTTGACGTCATGGAGGAATTTCCTCTTTTGATGAAAGGTTAAGTCAGGTGGCAATCTTCTAGACACTAAGTAATTAACAAAATCAGCATACCATGGAATCTTTGTTGATACAGCTAGCAAGATCTCGTCAGAAAAAGTTTCTCGAATTTGACTGTCATCCACCACCCTTTCATTCTCTAACCGTGAGAGATGGTCTGCAACGACATTCTCACTGCCTTTCTTATCCTGAATTTCTACATCAAATTCCTGTAGTAGCAATATCCATCGAATTAGGCGTGGCTTGGCATCCTTCTTTTCAAAGAGATAACGGATTGCAGCATGGTCCGTGTAAATTATCACTTTGGTGCCAATGAGGTTAGATCTGAATTTATCACATGCAAACACTACTGCTAACATTTCCTTCTCTGTTGTGGTGTAATTTAGTTGAGCTCCATTAAGAGTTTTGCTGGCATAGTGGATTGCTCGAAAAATCTTCTCACTCCTTTGTCCCAAATCCGCCCCTACTGCGTAGTCATTGGCATCACACATAACCTCAAATGGCTGATCCCAATCTGTTGCTACCATCACTGGCGCAGTGACTAATTTTGCCTTTATGGTTTCAAAAGCCCGTAAGCAGTCTTCATCAAATACGAATGCTGTGTCTTTCTTTAAAAGATTACATCGGGGTTTTGCCACTTTTGAGAAATCTTTGATAAATCTCATGTAGAATCCAGCGTGCCCTAAGAAACTTCGAATGCCTTTGACATTGGTGGGTGGTGGTAACTTTGCAATTGTATCAATTCTTGCTCTGTCCACTTCCAATCCCCTTGCTGAAACATGGTGGCCTAGCACAATTCCTTCTTGTACCATAAAGTGGCACTTTTCCCAGTTTAGAACTAAATTCTTTTCCTCACAGCGTTGCAGCATTAAGGAGAGATTGTGAAGGTAGTTATCAAAAGAAGTACCAAACATCGAAAAGTCATCCATAAATACCTCCATAATGTCCTCAACCATGTCTGTAAAAATTGCCATCATGCATCTCTGAAAAGTGGCCGGTGCATTGCATAACCCGAATGGCATCCGTCTGTAGGTAAAAGTTCCATAGGGACAGGTGAAAGTTGTCTTTTCTTGATCTTCTGGTGCTATAGCAATCTGGTTGTAGCCCGAATATCCATCAAGAAAACAATAGTAGGAATAACCAGCTAATCTGTCCAACATTTGATCGATGAGCGGGAGTGGGAAATGATCCTTTCTGGTTGCCTTGTTCAGCTTCCTATAGTCAATGCACACCCTCCAACCAGTTACTGTTCTAGTTGGAATTAACTCATTGTTGTCGTTCTTAATTACTGTCATCCCTCCTTTCTTTGGTACCACCTGCACTGGGCTGATCCATTCACTATCTGAAATGGCAAAAATGATTCCTACTTTCAATAGCTTTAGTATCTCCGCTCGAACCACTTCTTTCATTGCTGGGTTTAACCTTCTCTGATGTTCGATGGATGGCTTGTAAGAATCTTCCATGAGGATTTTATGCATGCAGACTGTAGGACTTATCCCCTTGATGTCAGCTATCAACCAGCCCAAAGCAGCCTTGTGATCCCTCAACACTTTCAATAATCTGTCCTCTTCGTCCCTGGTGAGTGATGAAGAAATGATCACTGAAAATGCAGAATTGTCCCCCAGAAATGCATAGTGGAGGTGATCTGGTAATTGCTTCAGTTCAATCTTACTGCTTTCGCTGCTGTCTTTATCATCTGATTCCTCTGATTTTTGAATATCTTCACACTGTGACAGGTTGTTTTCAACTGGTGTAGACTCTAGAGCCAATGTGCAATCAACTAGGTCTTTGTTCCCTGCATATTCTCCAGAAGAGCTGATGTCATCCTTTGTTGAACTAAACATCATACACTGCTCCAAGGGATCTTCAATATATAATTTCTCATCGCGCACAGTAGAATCAATGAAGTCAATCATGTGGCATGTCTCAGTGTCGTCCGAATACTTCATTGCTTGATAGATATTGAACCTCACATCTTATTGATTCACTCTCAATGTCAAATGTCCTCCTTACACATTAATTAATGCTCTTCCAGTTGCTAAAATGGCCTGCCTAAAATCAGTGGGATTTCCTGATCTTCTTCCATATCCAATACCACAAAATCAGTTGGGAAGATAAATTTGTCGACCTTTACTAACACGTCTTCAATAATGCCTCGTGGGTAAGTGAGGGACCTATCAGCTAGTTGTAGAGTCACTGTTGTTGGCTTGACTTTCCCGAGGCCTAACTTCTTGAATACTGATAACGGCATTAAGTTGATCACAGAGGGCCTTTTCAAAGGAAGAGCTTCCAATGGTGCATGAAATAGTGAAGCTGGCCCGATCTTTTCTCTTCTGAGGAAGTTTCTTTTGAAGAATAGCGCTGCATTCTTCTGTCAATTTTACTGTTTCATATTCCTCCAATTTTCGCTTCTTTGACATCACTTCATTCATAAACTTTGCGTAATTTGGCATTTGTTCCAAAGCATTTTCTTGAAAATTTCTAAAAATTTTGCAAATTGATTATCAAATTTTTTCTTTTGAAAATGCTGTGGAAATGGAAGTGGTGGTGTGAGAATTGGTGTGTTGTCAGGGAAGGATATGGAGTAAGGTCTGTGAACCTTATTTGTTCCTTTGGCCTACTTTTCTTGCTCTTCTACTACTTGTTCTTTCTCTTTATCAGGTGTGGGGTTGCTATCTTCGGTGGGTTCACTTTTTCCAACTTGCTTGCCACTCCTTAATACAATAGCTTTACAGTGCTCCTTTGGAATAACTTCTGTATCACTTGGAAATTTTTCTTTTTGCTGAGACTTCATTGAGGTAGCCAACTGGCCAATTTGCACTTCAAGATTCTTCATTGTGGCTCCCATGTTGGACGCATGTGTTTCAATATTATCCAACCGTGATTCATCTTTGTTGAAGTGTGATCTTGTCTCAGAAATGAACGTCCCAAGGATGTCTTCCAGTGGTGGTTTCCCGTCAGAATTCTGAGTGTTGAATCCGGGTGGAGGTTGAAGTGTGTTTCTATTGTTGCCATATGACAAGTTCTCGTGATTCTTCAGCCCTGGATGATAGTTATTAGCTTGGTAGCTTCCTCTTTTATTGTAGTTTCTACTGTTGACATATTGGGCCTGCTCGTTTGCAACCTCTGTCTCTTGGTGTGATGAAGAAGTACTCATGACTACCTTCTGTTGATTTCCTTGAGTAGTAAGCGTGACTATCTGATTTGTGAGTGATGCAACCTGAGCTGCTAGTGCGGTGATGGGATCCACTTCATGAAGTCCTGCTACTTTCTTTACGCCCGATCTCTCACTTGGCCATTGGTAACTGTTGGTGGCTATGTCATCCAATAAAGCATATGCAGCCTCTGCTATTTTAGCCATTAAAATGCCTCCCGCAGCTGCATCCACCATAATCCTTGTCTGCCCATTTAGCCCATTATAAAATATCTCAATTTGCACCCATTTCTGGAACCCATGTTGAGGACATCTCCTAAGTAAGTCTTTAAATCTTTCCCAGGCTTCATAGAATGGCTCGAAGTCGAGTTGTTTGAATTGGCTAATTTCACCGTGAAGCTGAGCTGATTTAGAAGGTGTAAAGTACTTGGTGAGGAATTTCTGAGCCAAATGATCCCAAGTTGTAATTGAGCCATACGGTAGTGACTGGAACCAAACCTTTACTTTGTCCCTTAAAGAGAATGAGAATAGGCGAAGTCAAATTGCATCTTCAGTAACCCCATTCATCTTCACCGTGTCACAAATTTCCAAAAAGGATCCAAGATGAGCATTTGGGTCTTCTATTGCAGCACCCCCAAACTGATTTTGCTGCACCATATATATCAACCCTGGCTTCAATTCGAAATTGTTTGCAGTAATTGCTGGGCGTGTGATGCCGGAATAGTTGTTATTGACAACCGGCCTTATGTAGTCCCAAATAGCCTTTTGTTGGTTATCCTCATTGGCTGCTCTAGCATCCTGTTCTGTCATTGCTTCCCGTTCGTTTCTTTGTATGCTTCTGAGAATGCGAAATGTGCGTTCTGGTTCAGGATCAACAGGTAGTAGATCTAGATATCTCGCCCTTCGCATAAACAGCTGAAAATAACCACAAGGAAGCTTTTAAAGATAGACACAAAAAGAATAAAATAAAAATAAATATTACGATAGAAATAAAAATCTAAAGTAAAATGAACGCCGATTGATAATAATATCAATTGAAATCGAATGAATCAATCCCCAACAACGGCGCCAAAAACTTGCCATGCAATTTATGTAACGTGATTTAACCGCAAGCGTACGGTGTCAAGTTTTGTAGTATATTAAGGAATTGAAAAGTGTCGAACCCACAAGATTGATATTCGACTCCTACTGAATACTATAATTGTGTCCGCGTTTACTTTATCTAGACAATCGGATGTTAAATTGATGTTTGAATGTTAAACTAATGTCGATGAATTAAATAACGCAAGGAACGTGAGGCAATTTTTAAAGATTGGATCAGAATTATGTAATGTATAGGGAGTGATTTCACCATATTATCGACATAATTCTCAACCCCTATAGATATTCCTATCAACTATTTCTCGAATTCATAGGCAAGAATCCTAAATTAATTCTATTTCCTTCTCTCGAACGTCAAATAGAACCTATCTCTATATTTTAATCCCAATATCTCTATTCCGAATTAAATGTATAAAGATTATCAAGCACTTTGTCCTTGTTTTACCCTAAAAAATTTGCACTTTCTCTCGAAACCTACAAATCTAAGTTATATTGTTCTTAGATCACGCCTAAATTTTCCTCTCTCGAGCGTTAAATTTAGAGCAACAATTCATTCAATTGATGATCAGCCAACTGAAAGCATTACGTAAGAACAATACAAATCAATTCTGGAAAAATCAAAGGGAATACTATAAAGAAATTAAATTATGTCTCAAATAGGTTACATCAAACCCTAGATTTAAAAGTTTAATTCATGATGGGGAATAAAATTGCAATGAAATACAAACTAGAGTGCATGGGTAAGAGAAAGTTAGAGAAAAACTCAAGTTGCTACACTATTTCTCAGTCTTGCTGCTTGATTTCTCAGTTTTCTGCTTGCTTCTTCTCCAAAATCGGGTCAATCTTCTCTCAATTGGTGTTTCTTTTTCTCTTGCCTCTTCAGCCGTCTAACCCCCTTCTCTTGGTCTTCATATTGGTATTTATATTTTCTAAGAGTTCTCAATGATTAAGGTATGATTTTAGGGCCGAAAAAATAATTAAAAATCCGGGTTTTATTCGTTTCGGGATTTGGCGCCACGGAGCCTTGATGATAATACTAACTGGCGCCAAAGAGCCCAAGTCCAGCGCCGTGGCACTAGTTATTCTGCTTCGGTTGCTCTTCATTGGGCGCCCAGGTCTAGCGCCATGGCGCCAGTGATTCTGCTGGAACTTGATCTTTTTCGGCGCGCGTGGCGCCAATGATTCTGCTTTGCTTCTCTTCACTTTATTTTCCAAACCTATTTTTCACTCCAATCTTATTCAATACTTGCTTATTCATGCTCCATTTCATTGATCATCATTTTTGTTCATCACAGGCTCCCAATAGTAGTATTTTCTCGAGAGTTGTCCAAATTGCAAAACAACACGAACACACACATCAAAACGTTCAAAAATGCCCAAGAACAAATCAAAAAACGTGTTTTAGAAGCTCTAGTTTAATGAGTGAATTACACTCATCAAAAGGTCATTTTCACATCCATTTGTTGCAACTCTAGGTCGAAATGTGCAACCAATGCCATGATGATACGAAGTGAATCTTTCTTTGATATAGGAGAGAAGGTCTCCTTATAGTCGATTACTTCCTTTTGAGTGAATCATTTAGCAACAAGTCTTACTTTATATCTTTCAATGTTGCCTAATGAGTCTTTTTTTCATTTTGTAGACCCAGTTACATCATGTTGCTTTTGCACTATCAGGCAACTCAATAAGATCCCAGACCCCATTAGATGCCATAGAATCCATCTCATCTTTCATGGCATCAAACCATAAACTTGATTCTTTACAATTTATGGCTTGTGAAAACATTTCAAGATCATTTTCAGCTCCAATGTTATAGTTCAGTTCTCGCAGATGCACAATATAATCACTAGCTATCACTGATTCTTTGCTTTATTAGATCTCCCTAATGTTGTATCAACATTTACTTGGAGATCATGTTGTTCAACCGGTTATTCAACAATTTTTGGCAATTCTTGAACATCTTGATCCACTGGATTATTATCAGCAGTTTTTAGAACTTCAATGATTGGTTGTCCAATACCTATATGAACTTAAGGGGTGTTGTGAACGACAATCAGTCTATCATTTGAAATGGAAGTTTGAGCATCAATATGATTCTTTTCAGAAATAATGTCCTGGAATTGACTGCTCCCACTAATCAAGTCATTCTCAAGAAAACTTCGCATTTCTTGACTCCACAATCTTAGTGCTGTAAGTTGGTCAATAGGATCTGTACCCTTTAGACATTTCGGCGTATCCAATGAAATATCTACTAATGGTCCTTCAGTCTAGTTTTCTTTCTTGTGGGTTGTAAATTTTTACTTCAAATGGACATCCCCAAACGTGTATATGTCACAAACTCGATTTGCAACCTTTCCGCAATTCAAATGGTGTCTTTGGAATAGCTTTGGTTGGAACTCGATTTAATATATACATTGCCATTTTAAGAGCTTTGGTCCACAAAGATTCAGGAAGTTTGGAGTTACTTCGCATACTCTTCACCATATCCATTAAATTTCGATTTCTTCTTCTATTACACCATTTTGGTCCGAGGAACCAAGCATATTGTATTGGACAACCATACCATGCTGATGCGAACTCGATCAGCAAGGTTGTAATCGAACCCATAGGATATTGAATCGGATCCCAAGAACGTCAATATGATCAATGTTTATGGATCTGACCTCAAAATAGTGAACCAAACAACCCAACAAGAACATTGCTGTGAAGGACCTTTTGATCACACGATTGAAGAAATCACACCCGAATTGTGGATTTGAACCAATAAAAAATGAACCAAAAAAACCCAACGGTAACGTTGACGCGAAAGACCCCTTAATTACACAATTCAATGATTCAACCCGATGTTTTGAACGCGACAAGATGTTTAAATCTTGATAGGTTCGATAAAATTGCCCATCATAGACAGTTTTGAAGCAACGCTTCGAAGAGGAAAATCTCTCATTAATTCATCAATAAAGTCTTTCTTACAATAAAAAGATAAATTCCTATTTATACTAGAATATAATTAAAAGGAATTAAAAATTCTAAGAATCCTAATTTAAAAAGGAAAATATAAAAACTAACATTTAAAAGGAATAAAATAATAATAAAAACCTATTTAAAAGGAAACAACTACCAAAGGACCACAGAATTGTCTACCATTATAGAATCCTATAACAATTTGGAAACTTGCGTGAAGATTAGGAATTCTGCCCGTTTCTGCCTTATCAACATACGGTGCGGCCGCGTGGTTCTTGAGGATGCGGTCGCATGGCTGCATTGCTTTCTACCTCTTTAATACCTGATTGCCCATGTGCGACAGCAAGGTGTTTAAGCTGGGCGGTCGCACAACTTGAAAGATTGCAACCCAGTTTCCTTTGTTTGCAACCGGTTGATCCAAGTTATTTCTTCCATCGAGCCCATTATAGAACTTGTTCCTTGGCACGTGAATGTCCACATTTTGAACTCCATAACTTGACCATTATGTTTCCATCTGAATCAACCTCAATCGGCACCTAACTTGGCTCAAATAGTGGTCTCGACCCTCCGTCAACATGCATCAATTCTCTAGAATTTTGAAGCCCATCTTGGATCACATCATCATCTCTCTCTTCGAAAGGATTCGACCTCGAATCCAAACCTTGATCAACCAAATTGTAGCCCTTGTTTTGAATTAGTGCTAGAACATGAAATGGCCCGCCACCTCTAGGATGATACTTGGACCTCTTTTGACTTCGAATCCGCCTCTTTCTTAAATAAATCCAATCACCGTCACATATATCAAAATGCTTACGCCTTGGAAGGTTTATTTCTGCAAGTATAGGATGCTCCAAGATTAATGTCCATTGATGATCCCCCGTGCATTTTCCTTGACTGCTTTCGTGTAGGCAACTTTAGCATTGACACTTCGAATGGATGCATTTTTCCCGGTATATCATTTTTAAATTTCAGTCGCTTACATATGAATTCATTCCATGGCATTTTCTGCTCCTCCTCGGGGATCACAAATTCAACCAACGGCAATAATGGCATTTCCAAACTAAGGTGTTGTTGGTTAGCTTCTTCCACAAGTTGGTGTTCAATTCCCGGGTTGGGTGGTATTCCAATGGATTTAATTTTTGGAATCGAATTTTTGTTGACCTGCAAAACAGAATTAGCAAAAATGGGGAGGGAAATGTTAGTTTTCTCCGATGCCTCCTCATCTCCATTATCCTTTTCATTCAAGTTCACTCCCGATTCCACTTTCAACTCCGAAAACTCCTCCTCCTTTTCATCCTGCAACTCCAATTCAATTTTAATCACTCTTTCATTCTCATTTTTACTCTCAACCCCCTTTTCATTTTCTCGTGGCTCTTCTTCCTTTTTCTCACAATCAACCACCTCACTAATTTTATTTTTACTCTTTTGCACCTTTGGATGATTAATTTGAGACCTAAGAATGTCAAGAATCTCAGAGAATTCCCATTTATAATCCATCCCAATCCTCTTGCTTGATGTACTACCCGCACACTCCACAAAAGATGTTTTCCTCTCCCTTGGATGCTCAACCCCATAAGTTCTTCTAGGCACCTCCCTAAATTTTCGCTCACGCCGATCATTCCTATAATAATTTGGCGCATATCGTCTCCTCATAATCGCCATCAACTCATCCCAATTCTCAATCGGCCTCTCACCACACCTTCGCCTAGATATCGTAAACTCATCCCACCAAGTTATAGCATAATCCACAAATGAGCTAACTACAAATTTCAATTCTTTCTCCCCGGAATAATTATAGCGCTCAAACATCAACTCAACTTTTTCTTCCCACGCTACATACGCCTCGGAATCTTTCCTACTTTTAAAAGATGGAATTGTCATCTTGTTACTCCTAACACCATATCCCAAATAATTTCTATCCTGTTCTCCAAACCTATCGCCTCTATTTTCCATTCCCCGTATGGCATCCTCAATCCATGCATCATCACTATCACTACAATATTCATTAGAGCTGTAAGCAAAAACAGCAAAATCGGAAAATCGAACCGAAACCGCATTTTAGAAACCGTCGGCTTGGTGCTACGTGGACTCGGTCAATGAAATGGTTTTGACTTAAACCAAATCGGTCAAAATGGTTTGGTTTAGATTTGAGAATTTTAATTGTGGTTTAAAACCAAACCGGACCGGCGAAAAAATATATAAAAATAAAAAAATGAAATTTTTTGAAAATTCATCCAAATATGTAAAATTCAATAGTTTTATCATTTGTTGGTATTTTTGTCAATTCCTAATTTTCTAATACAGATATATTATTATTATTATTATTATTATTATTATTATTATTATTATTATTATTATTATTATTATTATTATTATTATTATTATTATTATTGCTATTATCATCATCATCATCATCATCCAATAATCCTAATATATATTTAATAATTTTAAGACTAATATAATCTATCAAAAGTCTTTTTCCTCTTCAAAATTTAGATGAACTCCAGTCGACACCCAACACAGTTTTGAGCCACCGGCACCACACACTTCTTTTCAGATTTTTCACGCCTCTTTAATGTCGAATCGAAGTCCATTATACCAAATCGGAGACAAAAAGATCCTAGACCTTCGGTGATAATATTTGCTTCAATGAAGTTTCAGATCAATAATTTTTTGGAGCAAACTAAGGTAAGAATCTGAAATTAAATGTGTTTCGTAACATAATACAAACGTAAACTTGTGTAATTGTTATGTTTAGATATTATAAACAATTGCTTTATTATTGTAGTTGGTTATTCTCTTTGTTTAATCAATATCTTTTTTTCTCAGATATGATGATCACGAGGTCTTGTTGGACATTATTATGTTTTTTGGACCTTATATCTAATTTAGTAGACTTGTATTGTAACATTATTGTATCGTCATTAACCTAAAAAAGGTGAACAAAAATGAAAAAAAAAACTATGTTTCAGTTTATTGTGATTTCACTTTGATTTAATTAATATTTAAATTTATAATAGATATATTTAGCCTCTGTTTGAGCCATATTTTTCATATCATCATAATGAGAAAATTGACTATTGGAGAGGAGGCTGGGTCCCACACATGAAATAGCAGGTCAACAAAGGCGACTGGACTTGTAGAATAACGATTCAAATTTTCATTTTTTTGTCCCAAAAATTTGGTTCAAACAGAGGCTTAGTTTGTTTTAGATTTATTACTAGTGAGATATAAATATATATTAGATTCAATGAATTAATGACATAAAAGTAGACGGACAAAAAAATATATGGCGAAACCGGCGATTTAAAACCGGACCAAACCGTTAGGTTTAGGTTTGAATTTTTTTCAAACCGTTCAAAATAGTTTGGTTTAGGTTTGGATTTTTCTCAAACCGTTTTAAATGGTTTGGTTTGAAAATTTATCAAAAACTGGTAAAACTAGACTGCTTACACCCCTAATATTCATATGTATCATATATTTTATTCCTAGGCTCCAATCTACTCCATCTCTGCACATTAGACAACCCAACACATTGATCTACATGAAATTTAGCCAAATTTGAATCAATCCTGTCCATTTTAGTTTTTGAATCTTCCATATCCTCAATCATCTTCTCAAATCTTCTCATTACATCCCTTGACATGTTGAATTGATTCTGACTTGAACTTGACATTTTTTTTGACACTTTTTTTTTAACTTCTTTTCTTTTTTTTTTTACTCAAATTTTTTTGGATTCCGTACTGATGAACAGTAAAAAAAATTTGACATTTTGTTTTGGTACTCTTTGGATAGAAAATTCAAATACGACTCTGACACAACAAACGGAAGTTGATTTGGATACAAATTGAATACAAAAATAACTTTTCAAATTTTTTTTGAATTTTTTTGGATCAAAGACTCAAAACTACTGACTGACTCGAAGAACAATAAGAAAAATAACAACTGAATCAACAAAGATTTAAAAAAAAAAAAGATATAACCTTGATCTTGGTGCCTAAAGCTCTGATATCAAATGATGCGAACCCGATCAGCAAGGTTGCAATCGAACCTATAGGATATTGAATCGGATCCCAAGAATGCCAATATGACCAAGGTTTATGGATCTGACCCCAAAATAGTGAACCAAACAACCCAACAAGAATGTTGCTGTGAAGGACCTCTTGATCACACGATTGAAGAAATCACACCCGAATTGTGGATTTGAACCAATAAAAGATGAACCAAAAAACCCAATGGTAACGTTGATGCGACAGACCCCTTGATTACACAATTCAATGATTCAACCCGATGTTTTGAACACCACAAGATGTTTAAATCTTGATAAGTTCGATAAAATTACCCATCATAGACAAAGTTTTGAAGCAACACTTCGAAGAGGAAAATCTCTCATTAATTCATCAATAAAGTCTTTCTTACAATGAAAAGATAAATTCCTATTTATACTAGAATATAATTAAAAGGAATTAAAAATTCTAAGAATCCTAATTTAAAAAGGAAAATGTAAAAACTAACATTTACAAGGAATAAAATAATAATAAAAACTTATTTAAAAGGAAACAACTACCAAAGGACCACAAAATTGTCTGCCATTATAGAATCCTATAACAATTCGGAAACTCGCGTGAAGATTGGGAATTATGCCCGTTTCTGCCTTATCAACATACGGTGCGGCTGCATGGTTCTTGAGGATGCGGTCGCATGGCTGCATTGATTTCTACCTCTTTAATACCTGATTGCCCATGTGCGACAGCAAGGTGTTTAAGCTGGGTGGTCGCACAGCTTGAAAGATTGCAACCCGGTTTCCTTTGTTTGCAACCGGTTGATCCAAGTTATTTCTTCCATCGAGCCCTTTATAGAACTTGTTCCTTTGCACGTGAATGTCCACATTTTGAACTCCATAACTTGACCATGATGTTTTCCAACTGAATCAACCTCAATCGGCACCTAACTTGGCTCAAATAGTGGTCTTGACCCTCCGTCAACATGTGTCAATTCTCTAGAATTTTGAAGCCCATCTTGGATCACATCACATGCTCTTGAAGAAACTTCGCAAACAGACCAAGTGCTTGTCCATCTTCGGTATATCTACCATGATATTCTCCACCTCTATCTACTCACGATCTTAATTTATTTTTCACATTGTTTCTCTACTTCGGGCTTAAAAATTTTAAAGGCGTCTAGTACTTCGTTCTTATTATGAAGCAAGTAGATATACATGTATCATGAATAATCATCAATGAAAAAGATGAAGTATTTTGGACCACACGAGTCCACTTCTGGACTACAAATATCTGAATATATGATCTCTAACATATTTGTACTCCTCTTAGCACCTTGGACTTGCCGGTCTACTTTTCCTTAATGCAGTCCACACAAGTGTCGAAATCAATAAAATCCAAAGTATTAAGTACTCCATCATTTACTGATCTCTTAATCGTTCCTATAAAGATATGTCACAATCTCCGGTGTCACAACATAGAGGAATCTTCATTCATAACACATTGATTTATACCAGTATGAACATGCATAGTATTATAAGTAGTATTATTTTGCAAATTAATAGAAAAAAGATCATCAGATAATGTACCATTCCTAACAAGATCAGATTTATACAATAAACTGAAAGACACTTCTGAAAAATTAAAGGAATATCCTAAAGGTACAAGTCTTGAAACCAAAATCAAATTTCTAGAGAAACTTCGAATATAAAATGTCTTTTCTAAATTCAAAATAAAACCACTGCTTAAAACTAAATTGCATGTTCCAACAGCCTTCACATGAGAGCGCATCTTATTTCCTAAATAAATGTAATGTTTACTTTTCACTGGTTTCCTTAAGTTTCGTATACCCTGCAAGGTATTCGAAATATGGATTGTAGAACCAGAATCAATCCACCACGTGTTATAAATAACATCAACCATATTAGATTCATGACGGACAAATGAGATTGGTTTATCTTTCTTTTCAAGCCATTTCTGGTACTTGGTGCAATCCTTCTTCATGTGTCTTTTTTTTTCAGAAGAAACAATTGGATTCCTTTTTTTTTCACCTTAGGACGGTATTTTACGTTTTCTTTCTTTTTGGCTTGGTTTTCGTCCTTTCCTTATGTCACTATCAATGCACTTTCACCCATTTCCATTATCAATCTCCCTTTTTCCTAAATACACATGGCCAGAAGTTCATTAATTAACCACTTATCCTTGTGCATGTTATAAGATATCTTAAAGGGTTCATATTGATGTGGAAGAGTGTTTAGAATGTAGTGCATAAGGAAAGACTTAGACATATCAACCTTGAGAGTCTTCAATTGAGCCGCAATGTCCCTCATTTGCATAATGTGCCCATGCACACTTCTCACATGAATGATCCTCATGGATGAAAACTTCATAATCAGGGTGGTAGCAAGTGCTTTATCTGAAGTCTCAAATAGCTCATCAATAGCCTTCAACAATGCCTTGACATTTTTATGCTCTTTGACGAGACCGTGATAAGAGTAGAAATCTTGGTATTTATGAACTTCATACTGAGGCGATTAGATCGCTCTCATAGTTCATAAAAAGCAATTTCATCCGAAGTGCTAGTCATAGTGATTTTTTGTTCGTCTTTCTTGATTGCATAATCAATGTCCATCCACCCCAAATGAAGAAGAATCCTCTCCTTCCAGACTTTATAGTTATCACCCTTTAGTTTGAGAATATCACACTTAACATCAGAGAAATTCGTATGTTACATAACTGCATAAAAATTAAACATACATGCTTATAATTGAGACTAGCAAACATAAATCATACTTTACCGATGTAATATCATGCTTCAAAGATATGAATCTAGTGACGCAAAACTTGCCCGTGAGCTAAAGTCCTACTTAAATGAATCCATGAATAGCTATATGATAAAACTATCGAATTATGCTCATGTTCATAATTCCTGTGGGTAAATTAAGAAATGCAATTTGACATTTTATCCTAATTAATCATGCAAATATAATAAAATTTCCGTGGGATAAAATTTATAAATTTAAATATGATTAACCACATTTAATGTCTTAATTCAATATGTGATCCTATACATTTAATATATAATTTTGTATAATTAAGGATGCTGTGGCTACTCCTTAATTAATTAAAATTATATGGATCACAAAACATTTAATTTAATTCACAAAAAATGCTCATAGAAATTGCACAAAACCATAAACAATATGAGCATAAAATTAAAATTTTAATGTACTAAATTATTTATCTTAATATTGCATGTATAACAAAACAATAAAAATTATACATATAAAGTAACAAAAATAAATAACTTTAGTACATAAAAACAAAACCAAACGGCAAACTTTAGTTCTTTTAACATTCTTTTATGTGTTATTATATTAAATATACATACAGCTGCTTATGTTTCTCTTTATAGAATTTTGGGAGCAACAACTTTATCTCTATGCATGTGGGCCCGTGAGTTGAAGGAAAAACCCATTTTTTATCATATTAGGTCGTCTTCAACCGTCCTTTATGACCGGTTGCGACCCGAATAGAAATCTGACGGTTTCTCCTCCGTTTGGACACTAAAAATTACATTTTAAATCCTAGAAATGTTAGAAATCCAATTTCTTAATGATTCCTAACCTTATTTTTCATCAAAACAAAGATTTGAAATCTAAGGAGAAATTACGTACACATTGTAAAATTTTGAAAAATTTGCAGAAAGCAAAAATGAGCAAGGCAGAGGTAAACAAGGCTCTGATACCAACTGTAGGCAAAATCTAAACAATCTAAACATGCCTTAATGGTCTGAAAGCATATATAGATCATAAGTGGAATAAAACGGAACCGAAAAGACGTACCTCTAGCCTTAAGTTAAGAATATATTTTCGGATTTAGGTGCTTCCAAACTTTATTGGACCTCAATTAGATAGCATATTTTGACTGAAGGAGATGGCTAGGCTTAGGGACCCAACCGCCTTTGTCAAATTTGTCCTTAAAATAGCAGTGGATGATGGTGTGATGGATGTTATGGAAGTAGGTTATGGTGTACAAATCTGCGTGGTGGTAGTGCAATGGATGTGGTATTGGTGCTAGTTGTACGTCGATGGGCAGCGGTATATAGATCTACATGATGGTGGATGTTGTGGGTTGTGGAATATAAATATACATGGTGGGGGTACGGTGTACAGATCTGCGTGATGGTGACAATGTACAGAATTGTGCAGGTGCGATGATGGTAGTGGTGATGAGGTGACAAAAGCATGTAGGCGGTGTCCATGGTAGTGGTGGAGTGGAATGATGAGTTGTTACAAATGGATAATTTGTAATCAATAAATAATATGTAATTTAAAAAATATATTATTTGTGATTAAATTTGTAAGTTTGGTCTATAATTTGTATTTTTGAGATACCATGTGCAATTTATGAGTAGTACTGACTGATCATAAATAATATATTAATGTGACCTTAACTTGTTTAATTAATTAATAAATTATAAAATTGTATCATATGGTCATAATTATGACCATCTAATTTTTCAAACTTTTTCAGAAGTTTATTGTTACCAAAATGCTCACAAATTTGTCCCTAAAATTTCAAGGCCAAGGGGAACAAAACTTGATCTTAGAGCATTTGATCAAGAAAAGCCAAATAGTTGAACATTTCTGTGTCTAATAGTGTACAATCTGATTAACCGAGCAATGCACAAAGATAATTCCATGCGCACCCATGTACTATTTTGTCATCCTCGTATATAAACAGATCAATAAAGAATGATTTCAAAAACTACAAATTATAGATAGATATCATGGAAAATATTTGTTTTGCCAAATACCGTATGCCTAATTTTCTACGAAAATAAACATAATCAAGAACTACGAAGATTTAATACTAGACAATCTCTCAGTAAATTGATCAAATGTTTCATCACGAGGTAACATGCTGATTCTAACGTACTTTCCACTGCTGCCAAAATGCTTTCCACCTCTAGTTAATATCTTGTGACCACGAAGAAAGCTTTCACAATCATCGATTTCTCCTTCACATTTGAGCCAAGCAAAAGCTAAAGCAAGGAAAAGAAAATGTAAACAGAATCGCACAAAACAATACAAAAAATGACAAAAATTTTAATAGGCAAAAAAAAAAAAAAAAAAAAAAAATTTTTATAGGGAAAAATTTTTTAACCCCGTAAAATTTTGCAAACGAATGTGAAGCCCACATATAGAATTATTAATTATTCCAACAGGCGAACCCAAAAAAAAAAAAAAGATTGTTACCAGGAAGTGATCCAAAAGTGCGGCCACTAAAGGTGCACGAGCTAGAGGGGAAATCAGGCAAACTAAAGAGCTTGCTCATATTCACGGCATCTCTAAGTTGTTTCCACCTCCTTGCCATGTTGTTGTAGCTATGTTCGAAGAAGGCTTGGCCTTCTTTGAAGTTGCTTTTATATTGGTGGCTGTCGGATACAACTTGCAAGATTTTTGCTGCGCGAATTTGAGAATCTTTGGACACGCCTATGGTGCTAAGCATGATAAATTCAGTCATTTTCTTCGCAATCTCTCTGTCTTTAACAAGAGCCCAACTGTACATATAAAGTACTCGTAAATGATCCATTTTCAGCATTTTATTCGAGTTGATTGGTTAGGAAAAAGTATAAGCAAGGCCTTCTAGCTTCAAGTACTTTTTCGGATATGCCCTCAAAAAAGTAACTTCTAAAAAATCTCAAAAGATGTTTGACACAAATAGTTATATAAAAGTAAATTTTAAGTTAGTCAAACATGCTAGAATTTAAAAAAAAAAAAAAATGAAAAAAAAAAAACATCTCAAGTCAAACGAAATCTAGAAAGCATGATATGAAGCAACTGAATTTGACACCACGATAATACTGTTGGGCTATTTCACTTCTTGCAAAAATAAATTCACAATCCAAGCAAACTAATTAAATACCAAGAAATAAGGAAAGAATTCTCTAAGTGAAGGTTTTTGGGTACGTCGAGTACGTGTAGAATTCAAATCTCATCAAACTAGAGGTTTGGGGGTGAGATTATTATTCTCTTAGAGGTTGAACGTTGTAATATTTCCCAATTTGTTGAGAACTCAAGTTTTGGGCATAAACTTTAGTATTGTAAAGTCTATTTTATTATAGTGGATTTGATTGGAGTTGTCCCGTGATTTTTTTCCCTCTACACTGGAGGGTTTTTCCAAGTAAATTTGGAGTGGTTTTCTTCATTGCTCTCTTGCAAGAAGTGAAATTGCCCAACAAATATAAGTAGTATTTCCAACGTAGTATTAAAATGCAATGCTTACCCAATGCGTGTTCCAGCATGGCCAGTGCTCTTGGAGACCGTAAATAACATGATATCGTGATCTGCAGGAGAAGAGATTGGAATGTACTGTGGCCAGTAGTAAGCAAAATCGTGAATCAGTATTCCTTGACTTCGATTGACTACAGCTTGTCTTGGAAAGCCATCGGGGTTATTTGGAGACGTCACTAGTTCAATATATGGCTCGTCTTTGCTGAATGTGTAAGCATCGCCTGCCCATTTGTGGAGTCCAGACTCCAGAAAGTCGGTAATCAAAGGGTATGACTGCAAGCAATTACAGATTCATTGTTAAACTCCAAGGAAAAGTGTTTCAAATCTTTGGTATTTTCAATCAAAATAATTGCTTAATCTAAAAGGCATCTGATGTTCGAGGAATATCCTCTCGTTGAAGCAAACTCAATGTCAGCACCAGCATATCTAATTTAGACAAAGGAATATCAAGTTCATGTGTAATATGATAAAAACCTTAAAGCTGAAGCAAATATGCAATATTCTGATTTGAAATATTACAATAAAGAGCGAGAATATTGGTCAAATCCGGGTCATTAATGATCAATCTACTTCCTTAATTAAACTTAGACAACTAATGAAGTAATATGGTTGACTTTCATTTACCATAAATTGAATCAGGAAGAATGGGGGACTTCAAAATTTCAAGAACTAAATTGGTGATTTATTAACATAAAACAGAAAAAGGGATAGAATGAAAACTAAACATTAGCCGAGCCACAAATATTCAACTAACATTTTATCTACAAAAATTAGGTGACCTACAAATTGTGAAATGTGAAACTTTCACAAGAATTAACCTTCCAGAAATTTATTGGTATTACACTACACTCCTCTAGAGGAGAAGTAGATGAACTATTATTTGTTGCAATTTAAATCCCAAGGTAAAAACCGGAAAATGTTGAAGTTATTCAAAATCGGGTTTGACTTGGTTTTGATTCGATAACAAGCAAGTTGTGAGTTCCAAAATATCCTGTCAAAGAAGATCATTAAGTACTGAATTTCGATAATGCAATGAAGCAACATACTTTATGCATTGAATGAAGTTTGTCACACTACACTGAAATATCCTATAATCACGATTCACGAGCATTGTTGTACGCCATTACAATATTTTAAGTAACAATAAGGTTAACTTTGATCGGATTCGCTACCATGTACATTATTCAGTTTAAAAAAGTTCTGTAAAATAATTATGTAGCATTGTTATTGATAAAATAATATACGGACTTACCGAGTAAAATGGTGCAGCAGATACCACACTGATTGGCTTGGAAGAATTAGGTGGAGAGACAGCATACAACAAGGCCTGGAAGAGTTGTGTAGAACCCGTCCCGACAACAATGTAGCGCTCTTCAGTAATGGCATTTCCGACTAATTTGTGCAACCTAATAATAGCATTGGCAAATTCCGGCTCCAAAAACCAGCAAACTTTTCTGACATCAGAAAAATAACTTATGAATTGCCAGCCATTAATCACAACTGTAGTTTTATCTCCCATCTGCAGCCAATATCTCTCATACATTGTTGGATCGCCACTGCATAGAGTTACACACATATTAATTCATGACATTAGGGCACACGATGCTAGATTCTGCGTAAAAAGAATAAATTTAGCAACGAATATAATTTATACCACTCAGATGGTCTATTAAATTTCCTAGTTCATATGGTTCATCAAATTGATGCTCCCGACTCTTTTCTACAATAATGCTAGGAATAAGTACAATTCATGGGAATTGGCAATTTAAAATTTCTGCAGCAAAAATTAATAACGGCACAGGCTGTAACACATTAAAGTGCATGATATAACACCACCTAACTAAGGGATGGTCCATATTCGAGGACAGTGGTCCAAAACATTGCATGAAGATTCAGTATGGGATTGAAGGTAGGTATGTGAGGGCAGCCCATATGTGGGTCATTCTCCATCAGATGATCAAATGATTAGATAAACAACAAGCAAACATCAGGTCCAATATTCATTCTTCATAGTGACAGCACATACGGATTAAGACAATCTACAATCATCGTAGATAGAAGTAGCACAATCTAGGATGTAAATTTTTCTGACTATCGTTAACATCCGAGCAAGTAAAACTAACTTGGCCATAAAAATGTAGCCAGAAATTTGTCGTGCTTATACAGCATTCGTTTCCATATAGTGTCTATAAAATAAGGTCCTAATTATTGAAGTGTATAGTTTGCAATCTTTAAGGGATCTCAAAGGACAAAGGAGGTCCAAATGTAGCAAATGCACAAAACAAGAAATGACCCACAAAGATGCATCTCATTATTAGTAGAATAAAAGTGACTTTAAGATAACATGGTGGTTCGCACTCTTTAATCAACTTCTCATTGTCCACTACTCTGACCCAATCATAGAGGATGGCAAGCTAATTCTTAAATAAAACTTTCCTTTAATGCTAAAAAGTGACTTTTAGTTAATGCGGTGGTATAGGATTTCAAATTGACTAATGGTAATTAACTAGAAAATAAGCTTCTTAAACAAAATTTCTCACACTCCACTAATGTAATGGAGCACACACTTGAAGTCAAAACTTGAAAGTAAGTTTTGGCGTTCTATTAGTCGAGTGGGACAACATTATTCTCGAAATGGAGTAACTATTTTCCTAATTGATTAATAAAAGTAACATTTACAAAACCCAAACAAGCGCATAACACAAGAATGACCATGCTGGTCAATGGGAGAATCAAGGAAGACCATCCATGGTGCCATCATGCATGCTTGCAGAACACTACTTTGGAATCATCAAACTCGAACGACTTCAATAAGCACTTTTTTTGCTTTTACTTTATACTCTAACATGCGCCACGGGAAATCACTAGCCAGCAGAACATATTCCTGTATCTGAACTGACAAAAAGTGAACCCTTATGCACACGTGAATCGTACCAGTGGTGGCTAAGCAAGCAAGATAATTCTATTCTACCCAATTAATAAATTAATTAAAATACATAAAACCACACTAGCAAGTACCAAGCGCCCCAAATCATTAGACTAAGTGATTCGATACAATGAAAATTAGACTAACAGGTGATTCAATACAAAGAAAATTTGGATGAAAATCTGAATGATAGCCCCACATCAAGAAAATAAAAAACAAAAGAAAGAAGAAGAGATAAGTCGGAAATAAATAATATAATAGACTTACTGATCAAGATCGATAATACCATCAAAACCTTTTGAAGAAGAAGAAAATGGCTGTGGTGATGCTTCAAGAAGAGTCACGAAAGCATTTTTATACTCGTTCTTGAAGCTGAAAAATTCTTGATAATGATGATTTCCCTTCCAGTAATCTCTGTATAAGAATCCCACATTCAAGGCCAAAGAAATCACCAAAAAATGCCCCAAAATCATTGTTCTCAACTCCATTTTTAACTCACAAACCAGCTGAAATTACAAGAAACAAGAACCCTATTCAAATTTCAAAATAAAAAATAAAGTATATATATGTACATAAAGAGAAAGACAAACATACCAGTAGAATCTAGAATACAGAAAATAGGGTAGAGAATCTAATAACCCTTTTGATCACATTGGCTGGAAACCATTTTCAAGAACCTGAAAACGAGTCTAATGGGGTACAGTTTTTCTATACAAATATATATAATAGAATATGCATTCAGTGTTCAGTTGCGAGCTCTCTCTCTCTCTCTCAGTGAAAGGCTGCACTTTGGGCTGTCCTTGTGCAGTGTTGCGTATGTTCATTCCCTTTTCCCTTTCTTGAAGTACTATATAGAGTTATGTGCTGTGCGTTCTGTTGGCTCCTCTCTTCCACTAGTGCTCTTTTTTGAATCTTTTAGGGCTTGTTTGAATGGGGGGATTTTTCATTTTCCACCTTTTTTCTTCTTGAATTGCAAAAATTTTCTTGGCAATTGATTTTCCATCCTCTCCCCACATGACCCATTTTCTTGGTTTTGTGGAATACTCATTCCATGACTTTGGTGGGAAATCAGTTTTCCAACTTTTTTTTTTAATTTTTTTTGCGTTGAAAATAAATTCTATCCACAATTATAATAAATTCTATCCATTTAATTGACAATTTTCATGGAAAACAAAGATAAACGAATACCAAAATTTCATCATTTTTTAGATAAAAAATTATACCAATCAAACACGTTAACTTGAAAATTCTCAGTAAAACAAGTTCTAGACAATTTAATTTCCAGGAATTCATTTTCTTTCCATCAAAATTTCATTCTTGCAATCAAACGAACACTTAGGGTTGTTTGCTTTCACTTGCTTTTTTTTTTTTTTTGATGGTTTTGAAATGAGCAAGTAATAACCTCTGTATCAATAAACTCTGTTTTAATTCACTAAAAAATAAGTTTTGTAATAGTGATTTATTTTGATAATGTATGGCTAAAGTGAGAAAAATTTTAATTTTATGAGCAAAATTATTTTATTGAAAAATATAGGATTGAAAATGAGTTTGAAGGAAAAAAAGAGCTTTTAAAGAAGAATAATGTTATGCACAATGAAAACTATGGATAATCATCTTACGGGGAATACACACGACTTTTTATTGTCTCATGTATCAAATAACAAACTGTCATGTGTACGTCACGTATGATGACTACCGAAATTTTCACTATAAATAACATTACTCTTTAGAGAATGGAGCTCAAACCATGGTTTAATGTGATTGGATAATTTATTTTTCAAACTGCTTATTTAGATTAATATTATTTATCCCTAGTGGTATTCAACACTGATATAGACGGTAGTAGAGCTTAAGCATCATAATTGATGATCATATATAAAAAGAGTAATGATGTTCAATATTCATCAGTAGTGATGTTTAAAACCCGTCTAAATTACACTAAATTCTTGATTCATCGTCTTACTATCATCTATATTGGTGATGAATGGTATTATTTTGAAAAATGAATAATGTTATTTATTGTTAGTAGTGATGATTATTAGTCTATATGTCAGTGGTCTTACTGTAACCTAAATTAATGGTGGAATCCCAACAAAAACATAATTGATCATTAATTGTAGATTTGTGGACTCCATTGGGATCTAGCTCATGTTGAACATTATTGATGATAACCAGTGTTATTCATTTAACAAAAGCAGAGAAGAATTTCAATCAATATGCATCCTCCACGAGAAAAGGGGTATTGATCAACTAGTCACACCCATTATATTTACCCCTCTCGATCCGTCAAAGTGGGCATGGAGAATGGGGAAAAATATCAAATTCGGTTGACATACTCATGATCGGTAAATTTCAGTGATCACTTTAATAACTAGATAGACATGCAGAGAAAATAGGATTAAGTTGATGTGAAGAAATAGACGAGATTGCAAAATGTATTATAAAAATAATTGGATGGGATGTATAGATTGAGGACTACTCAAATACTAATATTTTTTCATTCAAACTTTTGAAAATCTTCCATTTCTTTATATCCATGTTGAAATGCTCTATTTTAATTTTATTTTTTCATAAATTGAAATGAAATAAATTTCTCGAATATATTTTGGTAACTACTTTTGTTTCTTAAAGGCAAGAGTTTAGGTCATTGTAAAGAGAAACATAACCGTCCGTTAAATTGTATAAAGTTAATTAAGAATAAGTAAGAGTTAAAATGTCAAAATTTTGTTACTATTCTATCCTATTTTGTTTATTTCATCGTACTAAACATGTCATCAATATAATACATAAAATTGATATTATTAATAATTTTTTTTCTAAATCGATTAATTTAGCCCGTCTGGAAGAGCTTTTTTCTCATTTTTTAGCACTTATTTGACCGTTATACATTTGAATATCGATCCTATTTTTGGCTGCAATTTTTAACTGTTTGAAAATTAAACACAAAAAAGGCTCCTCTCTCAAGAAGAATGAATTAAATGTTAGGGACAAAAAAGTCATTCTACCTTAAAATAGTCCATAATTATGGCTGACCCTATGTAACATATACACTGTATAACGGTCACAATTTCGCTAGAAATTGGAAGAAATGCTCTCTCAAGGAAGCACTTAATCTGATTATCAAATTGGTCCCGTTTGGAAGCGATTTTGAAAATTGATATTTTGACCGATAAGAAAAAATTGGGGACCGTTTGTGAGAGAAGAAGTCAAACTTTATGACTGGAATAGTGAAATAACGGTCAAAAAATCAATTTTTTAAGGTGAAAAATCACTTCCAAACAGCCCCAAGCATGTGATTCTTTTAACAAATTAGTGCTAATGTATTTATAGTATTAATAAAATTATGAAAAATCCCCAAGATTCTTATATCCCTATCACGAGTGCCCGTGCCTTTCCTCGTCATTTGACTTTTGACTTTTGACTTTGAAACTTTTTTCTTTTGCCTTGCTAGAGTCCAAATTCATCACAAGTATGGGAATGTTGGTCCAGTGCTTGAGATAAATAAGATATATACACGTAAGATAGTAAATGATTAACCTTTTAATCCTCAAATATACGCTGAGATAAGATTTACAAAATAATATCTTAAACCAACCATATGTCAATATCCCGACATGTAAAAAACAATTTCGAACTATTCATGTCAAGAGTCGGACACCCTTACAATCAAACATAAGGGTGGACCCAATTGTGAAGTCCATTGCCACCTAATTTCTTAGGCATGGCTCGTGTGTCTATTAGGATTAGTCCAAAAGTTTGAAACGAAGTCTTAAAACTTAATTTTTAAATATCTCCGAAGACTATTCTCTTTTAAAATAAATTAAACGTCGATATCACATTCATAAAAAGTAGGTATGATCATCTCTTTAGGTTACATAATCCTCTTGAATGTTGTATTTGTGCTTAAAATTCATTGGTCCAATCCTTTCAATGAAAATTCTTATTTGTCCTTCGAGGATGCAAACACTAAAATTTATAAATTGTGGTCTCTTTCACACTTTTTTCACTTGGTTGCGGCCAAGTGTCCGCGTGCTCTCCATCGAATATAAATGACCTTATAGTTACCTAACATGTTGACATGCATTAACACAAGCAACTTCATAATTAAGCGAGTTAAGCCAAACGACCTGTGGGGTCACATGCTCCAGTGCGGGTTCCTCATGTATAAAATAATTCTGACCCCCCATATGTGTATGTTGTGTCAATCCCGTTGTCATCCATATGGGCACTATAGCTCGACCCTAGTTAAGTCTATGAATTGCTCTAAATTGCACGGTCCAATTGACACCTCTAAATTGGTCTAATAATTATTTTCTCTTCGTTTGATTTAACATCTGAACCATATTTCATAATTTCTCTATAGAGTTCCACAAAATATAGGCGACCAATTCAAGAATCCAGGTTAAGATGAAAGGGACGAGACATAAACCTCCGTTCATCAATTTTATCTGGCAATCTGAAGCTGAAATAGGTCTACAAAATCAGGTGTCCACCGGAAAAAACGTTAAAATTAGTCATTTTAGGGGACCCATTTCCAAAAATTTGAAAACTCATTCGTACTAATCTTTTCTATAAAATTTGGCCCCAATATTGAGCACGATCCGTTGCATATGGTACTCGATCTTCGAAAATTTCAAGGGCTAGTAAATGCGCACTTAGACACCAAGTAACGTGCGATAATCTTCTCAATATTAAGATCACATACCATAAAAGACTTGTTAAGATTTTTAAGGACTAACAAGGATGAACCGAACATCACACAACGTGTGGTGCCCTTTCCAAAGGCGGATGGAGAGGGAGGCTTGCCTAAAAGCAAATTGGCTTCTGAACAATGGAAAATTTAGCTAAAATTTATAATGAAATAAAAAAGGATAAGAGATTTAGCCTAACCAAAAACTTAAGTTTAGCATAACTAACTTCATTCTCAATCCAAACCCAATGTTTAATTATTCAAATTTAATTTATAACTCTACAAAAACTACATATTTATTTTATTCACATTCATGATACACACATAACTTGTTATCAAATTAAGTATTTTATTTCATATATATTTAACTAAGTTTAAATATTTCACTTATAATCGGATTAATTTATTGTATAACAAATAACTTTTTATTGATTAAAATAAATATAAATGACTTATTTTAACAATATGAGATGTCACATGTTTGATTAAGTTTGAAAGTAATTAAATATTTTCTAATCTATTCTTTTTATATATTACTTATTTATACTTGTAAGTTAAAAATATATTTATTTCAACCATGAAATGGATGTTATTATGAGAAATAAGTAATATACTCTATATTTAATTTTATTAGTTAAAAATATATTTTTAGAATTTTGTCACGAGTGTCCAAAAATATATTCCGATTTCCGACGCACTTTGTCATGAGTTTCATGAGTTTAACTTTTTAAACTAAATCTCGTATGACATAAACCATCTTTTATGGTTTGAGCTTATTGAAAATAATTTAAATTTCAACCCACCTTAATATATATTTTTTTGGCTCTGCTCTTGCCTCTTTTCAATATTTAGATCACATATTATGGACTTGCTAAGATTGGTCACAATCTGTGACCAGGTCCAAATTAAAAGTGGTCCTTTTTGAACAAAAAGGCTGCAGCTGTTAATTAGCAACCATTGAAGAATGGTCCTTTCTTAGTCAAGTTGCAAAGAGGCCCATTTTTGTGATTTATTCAGCCTTGAAGTTGGCTTCTGTCAGTTCAAACGGTCCCATTTTGAGTGACAATAGGTGGCCACTAATACATAGGGTCTAAGGGAGTACAGGATCGAGACATCGATGGTCATATATACCGAATATTCATATGAGGAATGGAAAAAAAGAAAAAAAAAATAATAAATAATATATCACTTGAGTGGTTCATGCCACGTAGTTTGAGTACTGTTTGACATTATCTATCATATATACACTTTCGTGGTTAAGCATTTACAAATTACAACCTTGTTAGGTTGTCACGGAGA